AAGAGAAGAAAATAAATGTTGAGGAAACACAAGAAAAATATTTAATATGAATTTTGATAAGGATAGATGTTAGAGTAAGCGATTAAAGAATATATCATTACATAATCTTCAGTCCTCTCTAATCAGTAATTTAAGACGACAGGGATCTTTATTTTTAGCGACGTATATCACCATGTCAGACATAACGTTCACAATGAAATAAATAAGCTTTATTATTAATATCTGCTTTTTTTGACAACTATTGATCTCTTGAAATCAATTCGCCTTTCCTGTCTCGCACGCGCGCACACACACATATATATATAATTATATATAATTTAAGAAAACATAAATAAATTTTTGGAGCCACAAATATATATTGCTCTGTTTTGAATTTTCTTCATAAATCATTGATTACGCGATGATTAATGACAGATATAATACGGCGAAATTATTATTCACGGTGAAAATAATAATAAATCGGAATTAGATTATATTTCGCTCGGCGGCGGGTAAATTGAGGAGATAAGGCTCATTAGCAAATTTACTGCATTTGCGTCAGCGATAGGGCCGACGATTATAATTGCTCGTAACTTTTATCACGATGCATCCATTGCTTCTTTCGTCGGTCGGAATCTTTCTCACACGGTAGCCACGAATAGCGAAATGTTCACATTTTCTTCTTTATAAATATATAAATGATGATGCTATTTACGTGCTATATGCAGACTCGCGGACCAAGTTTCCAATCGTGCGTAGACAAATAAAACGAAAATTAATTGTGAATTGAAATGAATGACGTTAAGATGTACATGTATATAAATATATATATATTAAAATTATATTAATTTAACAAATTTACAACTTATCGCAACGCTTTATCTAGTCTCGTTCGTTAATGTATCCGAGACTCGTTTGAAAAATTGAATAAAACAAAATTATGCAAATGAGCTGGATGGAATAAAGTAAATTAACGTACATGCAAAGAAAATTTATATATATATACACATATATAATAATAATAATAATAATTTCCACTTTGCTATTAAATATACGTAAAATCTTATGACATACAAAAACATGGATTCTGAAACGAATGAAAAAGATATCGATATTTTTTTTTATGGCTATTCTTGATACATACTCATGGGTATAATAACCCGGCGATATAGCCGACGATGCGACGACTCGATGCCGGCGCGGCGGTGGCTCCTGACACGTAGGAATATCGCGAATGTTACGAGCGGCGATTATCGTTTGTTCGTTTGTTGCTCAGCTGTTGCTGTGGCCTTAAGTACCGAAATAATTTCGATCTGGCAACGTGAGTAGATGGGCGGTCTACTACTATGGTTTGCACTGTTTGTACGTGTAAAGCATACCGAAATAAATCATCGGCGGTTAAAATTATCTTTCCGGCACTTACTTAAATTGCGAAAAATGCAATCCGATACTGCGAAACAGAGAAAATAAAAAAGAAAGAAGGAGGGAGGGAGAGAGAGAGCGAGAGATAAAGGCAGAAAGACATGCCTTTGTGCATTGTCCGACTTGTTACGCCTTTTTATACATGTGACATAAATGGCAGCTTGATAGAGTGCGATTATTTTTCGCAATATTGACTCAATGACGTTATATGTATGACGATTTCAAGTAATGCTGATAAATTTTGATTCGTGAATTCTTTTATTAATCTGACATGAGGTCGGAATTTCCTCAACGAAATTTTAATTTTAATTACGTATGTTATTTTTTGAAACCTTCTCGAGTGTCACGGTCAAATTTTGGTGTAACTGAATCTCTAATTAACATTTTGTCAAAACACTTACACTTGAAATGGAATAAGGATAAGATTGTATTATCCACGTGCATGTATTGAATTTTTCAATTCCTAATTTAGCTATTTTATTATGCTTGGAAAAATTAAACGTGTTTACGCGAACGAAAGGCTCGAACCGGCCGAGAGAAAAACCGCCATTCTCGCTGAAGTTGATCTAAGGATAATAATTTCCGAGTAATTCTTCTCTCAATCGGGACCTTCGCGCAATTTCTCTCTCTCTCTCTCTCTCTCTCTCTCTCTCTCTCTCTCTCTCTCTCTCTCTCTCCCGCCCCTCTTTTATGCATCCGCACGGCAGCGTGAGAATCCGAACCGGCTGGTCGATGTTCCGGCTGTGTGACGAACACAATGGGCACTCGTCTGGGACACGCGAATTTCGCGGTATAGCTATGACGAACCAAAAGATAACCGGTCAGGCAACAGACAGATCAGCCAGCCGTCCTTCCGCGTGCGCAGTGAAATTTAAATGAGCGCTGCTCCCTTCACAAAACTTTCATATTGCATTCTCGCGCGATTCGACCTTTCGTTTAAGAGACGACGACGACGACGACGACGACGACGACGACGACGACGACGACGACGACGACGACGACGACGACGACGACGACGACGATGTCTATTCCAGCTGATCGGTGGAAGGGGGGCCGGACGCTCGGGGAGCCTCTATGGCCTCGATACGTGAATGTCCGTGAGAGAAGCGTCCTCCCTTCATCGCCCCCCGAGCTGTATTACGTATCGCGTGTATTGTCTCGTCATCGTCGTCACCATCGTTTCGCTGATGTTCATCGTCATCGCGCGTCGGCCTTCTCTTACCACGTGATCTAGAATGCTATATGTTATGTCGCGTTTGTTGCGTCACCGTCATTCACAAAATCTGAGTTGCATGTAAATAACGACTTTTTTTTTTCTTTCTTTCTTATGATCTTTTTCTACGATTCATTTGAAAAAAAAATCGATTGCCTACTCGAGCGACAATCAACAATCTTGGTCGCACGCTTCTTTGAAACTTATATTGAAATTGTCAGATCTTTCGCGATACATCCGATGATGCATGCTTCCGATGACGTGCATCCGCAATAATTCTCTAAGAGTTAAAAAAAAAAAATAAATTTCGCGTACCAAGTGCAGAGAAAGGAAGGGGAGTAGAACAACGCAAGGGGGAGAGAGAGAGAGAAAGAGAGGGGGCGAAACAACGACGGGCGTAAAAAGGAGGGGGAGGAGATATATACGCAAAGTTGCGAAATGGTCAGTCGCGCTCGACTGCCTTTCGATGAAATTGAATCACGAAAAATTGTCAACCGGATCCCGCTCGCACTTGCGTCAATCGCAGTTAATTCTTTGGAGAGAGTGCCTTTATATCTCTAAATTTACTTTCAATTTATTCTAACGATAGAGTTCTAACGATACCTATTACCTTAAAGATGTGCACGCAGATTTGTTAAAGATAAATATGAAAGATTCTCTCTGCTTGATTATATTATCCAGAAAAATATTATATCGCTAACTAGTTTGCGAACGAAGGGGTAAGAGGGGGGCGGGGGGATAGAGACTATCAACTATAATGTGCTCTATACAAATGAGCAACGAGCATGTACACTTGATATAAAATGTAGGTAATTGTAGCTAGTTAAATCTGCTTTTTTCTTCTTTCTTAAATTATAATCGCACTTATATACTCTTCGCTATCTTTGCCAAAGTTCTTGAAAGCCACAAGTTTGCTCGCAGTCCTTTTAATTCGATCGACAAACAAACACACACACACACACACACACACACACACACACAGATATATATATATATATATATATATGTCGAAATGTCATCGTGTTGTGCTGCTTTCCGCGAGTTCGGCCCATGTAATACGGTATCAAAGGGATAAATGTCATCAGTTCACTTGTATTGCAGTATAAGCGAGTCACTATATCGCCTTGTCATTTTTTTAAATATTTTATTATCTATCCACATTTTCATATTTAACTTGTGCATTGTATTTTCCTTTTATTTGAATTTACGTTAACATTGAAAATTATGACATTGATACATTTGATTAAATTGAATGTGTTAAAATCGAGAAAAGACGTTAGCATTAAGAATAATCTAATTAAATCTTTCGAAAGGATCAAATTGAAAAACGCAAAATTTATTTATAAGAGCGCGTTATTATTTTGTAAAACTTGTTCTAGTCTAGCTTAAAAAAGAGAATGAGAGGGATTGACGATGGGTGAGATCGGTATTAGATAGCTGGAATGGATACGTGTATATGGGTGAATTTGATGTATCCCGGCGAATATATACCCGCGACTACAAGAGAAAAGAGAGTGCGATACACGCACACACACACGGAAAAAAAAGATTAGCAACAGGAGCTAATATATAGCTGTGATAGCTAAAATGTGTCCTTAAAATAAGGACAGCTAATATTGTTGCTGCCCAAGCTAAATTTATTAGCTATTTGCATTTAGGTACTACAGCAACACTTTTTTGCTGTTAGAAACAAGTGACACTTAGCTGAATGCTACTTTATCCTTTGCTGCAGAACTAAATAATCTCCATTATGGATGCTAAGATTTTTAGCTATGATTGTACAATCTTCGCTGTTACGCCCCAATATTTTAACAAAGTACGGACTTCTTCATCCATCTTATCCACACAATAGAGAACCACTTAATTCACACGTATCGAAACGAACTGGGCGAGCAACGGCTAACGCGTCGATGTTGTCAATGACAGCGTCGCAGAAACAATTAAACAATTGTGAATCGAAGATTCGCGCGCATACCCATAAACTTAGCTGCGCGTGCTAAATGTTTTAGCTATAAAGCATATTCCGCAATGTATGCGCATAGTAAGAAATTTAGGTACGGTTGCTATCTTTATAGCTGCTCGTGTTAATATACGCTTTCAATTTCAGCTAATAAATTTTCATGCCACAGTGAATTTTTTTTACCTATAATAACTAGTACTTAGCTATGACACTAAGGCGATAGCTCTTACAGCTAAGTTTGATTCAGCTACTGAAATTTAGCTGCTATTGTTAAGTCATTTTTTTGCGTGCACACATACACACACACACGCATCGTAAGCCGTGTAGAGAGACACTGTCGCGTAAGCTGTTGTTTCGTAATTTAACGCGATCTTATTAAGAGGACAAGACAGACTAACCGGCACGCTCTGCGTATTCTGATTTCAGAAACTCAGCATTCCATCCATCCATGGATATACCGGATTCACCTTTAGTCTCTCCAGCAATCAGGACATGGAGGGTCCCCAGGGCGGCTTCGAGTGCGTCCGACAAACCGGCCCTAAGTACGTATCGATTATCGCGATATAACAGAAACTTGCAAAGTAATATTTGCGTATTAAATTTATACATTTTATAAGTACGAGTAATTGTAACAGTCGTTCTAAGAGTCGGAATAGATAGAATTAAAACGTTAAATATCGCGCGAGCGATCATTATTTGTTTATCAGATAGGTTGACAAGAAGATTTTATACTATTATTATACATTACAATTAGTAGAAAATGTTGTATATACATATGTCGCGATGGCTCATCATACGGAAAATTCGAATTCATAGCTGAAGAATAATGTTTCGCTGAATAGACTCGACATACGATGCGGTAACTTGGAGTAGTCTCCTCGAGCATAATCCCCTCAATCTAAACCGAGCTACGTAAAAAATTGTAGAGCATCCTTGACCAGGTGGTTTTATCGCGGCAACTTGACACACTAAAGCGCTGTTAGTGAGCTAGCAGGTGTCGCGACTACTGGCGACTGCAGCGTCATTGAATGATTGGTTATGCTTGCGTTGTCAGAACCGATTCAGCGACTAGTAGTGCTTCTCGTACGATACGATCTCGATGATACAACGAATTAATATTAAAAATATAATTGTAAATAATGATTTTCTTAATTTGCTCGCCGGATCGCAATTCATTTTCCGAATAGTAACAGGCCGATATGTTCTACATATAAATGTGATATAGCATTATATACATATATGTTTTTATCTCAACGAATGTAACAATAATGACAATACTTTCTCTGTATTTGACAAAACTTGAAAGACGTCTTAACTATATGTATTGTATAATATTTTTGAATCTCGGACAATTATCTTAGTCGTCTCTTTGTTTAATATTAAAAAGAAACCGCACACAGTCGATTAACGAATTTAATATTCTACTCTCTTATTTTTCTTCTCTTTCGTAGAAATCTGGAGAGCCTCGGCGCCATACCGTACAAAATGCGGATACAGGCAAACGACGACGTTTACGAGACCACCAGGCACAGAATGGCGGTCGCCGAGGAGAATAACAAGAACAAATGGTACGGATATTCCCACGAGCAGCGGGACGTACGGTCGTCGATCCTGCCTAAAAATAATAAAGAAGACCGACTGCGCAATAACAATCATAAACAGATCAAATGGGATTGTATATTATATGGGATTGTAGGTGATTTAAAATAAATTGATGAACTTTTTAGAGGCCAAATTATTTTGGTTTAATAGCGATTTTAATTGTGAAAGATCATAGCATACATATGTCATGTTACAATGTAAATCTTTTAACAATTACAAATTTTAATTAAAATGAGAAAAAAGAAATTTTAATTATAAGTAAAAAAAGGAATAAATAATGAAGCGCTGTCAGCGCCATTGTTTTCCTGTAAAACTCTGCGCGTCAAGAGACTTCGTGACGCACGATTTTTTTTTATTTATTTTTTTTTTTTTTCGGAAAAGCGCGCTTGCCTCTCCTCTCCATTTCCCGGTCGTCGAGCATCGGCGGAACCGTAAATAATGCTCGCGTCGTGGTCTTACTTTTACAAACTTTCGCCCGTGTAGATACGGTCGCGCTTAACGGATGTTCGCGCGATTCACGAAGGAATTTACGACACGTCGTCGCGGAAACTCGCGGAAAATTGCATGCATGTGGATACGCGCTTTCAGGTACATACCTCGCGAATATGTCACGTCGTCGCCGGTATCTCAATGCAGTTTGTTGACCCTAAATTAAAGGAAAATCCAAAAATATTAACATTTTATATACAAATATCTCTAGAGATATGTGTAGAATAGTACATTTATATACAAATATTCGCACTTAGTTGATAGAATAAATAACATATTTATTAATATTATTATATCGCATATTTGCATTGCATGAATTAAAATCGCGCTATCTGTCAGAAGATAAGCGCTTGTTGTTTCTTCAATTTTTTATAAACGGGAGCATGCGCGAAACGCGATCTCCGAAATCGGGCTTTGCAATTGTTAACCGCGATTCGAATACTCGTTCGGCGGGTCTGCATCGACGATGCAGCTAATTTGTTTAGTCGTCCTCACTGCCAAGGTTAAGAGCGCCTCACAAGTGCAATTTCGTCACGAACCTGAACACTTTTTCGCCTCTCCTTCGTCATTGCGGTGCTTTATCGCGGCGCACGTTAAGGAAAACGCGTCAGGAACACGCGTCAACTAATCGATCGGATCCCTTTATGATAATGATGCAAATTGCATTAATTGTATGAATACACAACGAGGCTTGATCTTATAGCAGATCGGCGGGGTTTTAAATATACAAACACGATAAAATTTTTCGATTGTTTTCCATTTTTCTAATTTCAATTGTTCTCTCTCCATTTTGATGTATTACTTATACATAATTAGTGCGCTAGAGAATTTCAAAGTATATATACAATATAGATTAATGTGGATTAATTTGCGTTTGTCTCAGTAGCAATAATTATATATCGCTTTTCCAGTACGAGGGTAATCAAAGCGAACGGTCCAGACATCGGACGCAAGGTGAAAGTGCAAATACCCGGAAGGACAATACCACTTCCGTCATCGTATGCAAAGCATTGGGAATCTACGACGAGCATTCCAACTTCCGGCAGCAATCAACACAGAACGTCAACCAACAAGCCGACCACTAGCAATAGTAGTAGTAATAGTAATCATGTAGCGGCGACTCGCAGTCCGGAGAAAAAAATTTCCGATATTATGCGCAGGCCACTTAAGTAAGTGCATTAACGAATCGATACAAGGATATGAGAAAATAAGTCACGCTCCGATAAAGACGCGAAAGTAAAACTGTCAGATTAATAAGATAAAGCCTGATAAAAATTTAATGCTCAATGAAATTCTAAATAAGGAAGAAATTTACTAAAGACTAATATTTTTTTTTTCATTGCATTAGGTTAAAATGTATTTTATATTTTTCTATGTAACAGAGAAAGACTTATTCACGTCCTTGCTTTGAGGCCCTACAAGAAACCCGAACTTTACGATCGTATCAACAAAGGTGAAACAAAATCTGAATGCTTCTTCAGCTTCCCGGAATAGCTTCAATCGATGATATTAATATTCCAATAAATTGCAGAGGGCTTAAGGGAGCGAGAACGACCCATCATGACGACGATCCTGAAGCAAGTGGCTAATATGCGCGATAACACGTATCATCTGCAGAGGCATATCTGGAACGATGTGCAGGAGGATTGGCCTTTCTATACAGAGCAGGAGAGGACAATGCTCAGGAGGCGGAAACCTCAGAACCTTACGCCACCCGGCTCGAGTGATGGTTCCAGCGGTACGCATTTATCACAATACGCTGTTTACATACATGAACATCAAATTTTATTTTATTTTATTTTTTTTTTTGGAACAATATATACATTTTTCTTATATATTTTTACTCACAGGCAGTGGTCAATCGCCCAATTCCATCCATGCGGGTTCACCGCCGACGATCACAGCACCCCCGCCCAGCTTGCTGAACAATAAGAGACCGGGATACTACCAGGGTAGCGACGGATTGCCGACCAAGAAACCACGAATATCACACTATAAGAGACCCGAACCTATCTCCTTCATCCCCGCTGGCGAAAAGGTGTCTGGTAGCAGCAGTTATAATAATAATAACAGTGGTATTAGTGCAACCGCCGGTGGTGAGCGTGCCATTGGCGGTAATAGTGGTTGTGGCAACAGCAATAGTGCTGGTGGTGGTGGTGGTGGTGGTGGCGGTAGTACTAGTAATAGTAGCAGCGGCAACGGCAGCGGCGGTCTCGATGGTTTGGAATCGAGGCAGCAACGTGAACGTAGCAGTCGCGCCGATTATCGAGTCGAAAGGACAGCGAATAGTGATGTGTTGCGAGGTGCTGGGAATGGCTACGGCGCCATCGCGGTTCCGAGCGGTTCCAGTCGGTCATCATACCTAATGTCGTCACCTAGTGATAGTGAAAGAAATAGCCATCATCAGAGCGGCGGCCATGGATGCAACGGCAATGTCGCGACGGTCACGAACGGAAATGCCGGAAGCAACACGAACGGCATAAGCGTCGATAGAAAGGACAGAAGTGACAGGAGCGACAGGAGCGACAGGAGCGACAGGAGCGACAGGAGCGATCGAAATCGTGACGCGAGGGAAGAGAGAAATAGGGAAAGGGAGTGTAGGAATAGGAATAGTGCCGTGAACGACGTGAGCGACGCGATCTCGCTCGTTCGAAGCGAAACTTCCAGCAGCAATGCTCACATTTATAACGATAATGCCAGTTCTACCGCAATGACGATTTCGTCGCTGACTGATGAGCTAGAAAGGCCGGGGAGCCCAGGGGAATACCCCGATTACCTCACGTAAGAAATTTGCTATGTTATCGATTATATTAATCTGCGAAAACGGATACAGATAGTAACGAAAAATTAGATATTCTCTCCATCAATTATTGCGAATGAATCTAACATGTTTACTGATCGATGTAAAATATTGCAACATTACACTGTTTTGTATTTGTCCAGGTACTATACGACAATAAGCAACGCGAAACAGAAAAGACGTTATAAAGAAGAATTCTATGCGAACTATGATGAATATTGCAGATTGCACTCCGAAGTGGTCGTAATCGCGAACCGCTTCAGGCATTTGTACAAACAATTTCTAGAGCATAAGCAATCGGGCAACCTGACCGAGTGCGAGGTATCGTAATCATTTAGAGATATCCGTTTTCTCGAATTAATGAACGAATATCAATACTAATACGGTGTTTTTTGTTTTTATTCTTGTTTTCAGGCAACTACGGAACAGATACAGCGTGAATATAAGGAAATTAAGCAAAACCGCGTATACCAGCAGATGAAGACACGGTTTCATTATCTGCACGATAAGCTGAGCCACATAAAACGATTGATCTTAGAGTACGAAACCGAAAACACTGTCGACACGGTGTCGATTGTGACCAATGTTGATAGCGGTATAGTTAGTACCACGACTGCGAGCACTAATGTAAACATCGGGGATCTCGACAGTCGGCATTACTGACACAAACTGAAAAGACCACCTCTTATTCCCCGCCTCCTCCTCTCGGTTGTCGGTACGTTACTGTCAACATTGTCGCAGAATTTGCATTTTGTCGGCAAGTTCCAAGGCTGATCCTTCACGGTCCACATGGTTCCTGGATTTCATCGCCGAAAAGTCAAGTGACTTGAGGTCGCAAGGTCTCGTGTATGATATTCATAACACATCTTGCAATATCCCATCATTAAAGAACAATATTGTTGTGTACAGTGCTCGTAATAATCCGCATAAAAAATAATTGTTTTAATTACAATTAACGCTAATTATATTGTAATTATATTAATATTATTTTTAATTATTATTACTATTGCACAATCATTGTTATTATCATTCAGATATATAAAATACAGACGGTATCTAGATATATCAAGTACATCGCGATTTTCAGGTGATCTTTTTGAGTGAATTTGTAATGGAAACTTACGATGCCAAATTATACAATATTTTTTTTCTAATTATTCGTCATACTAAAGATTATCAAACAATTTCCATTCATATACTGCGTTTTCGAAATTTAAATCAGATATCAATAAATCAGTTTTATTTTACATATTTTTTATGTATAATCTAACAAACACATGAATTCTGAAATTTTTATAGTAAATGTTTTTTTTCGGTATTTATTAGTGTGTTTGTTATTTTTAATCGATCGACTATATAAAAACTAGCTTAATCTTGAAACACTTGACTCGTTTTCTAACGATTAATAGATTAAACATTTCTCATACATTATTTTAAATGATCAACTTTGACACGATATATTGCTTCTTCGGGACAATCTTAGTTTTTTATTGTTCAACATTTACGTTTTCGACAACTATGAGTATATTTACCCAAAACCGTCCATCGAGCCGTGGGTATAAAAAGAGAGAGCAGTAAAAATGTTTGTCAGATATAAAATTCTTACGAAAAATTTTAGACACGAAGACGATCTGCTGAATATGACAATGATGAATTTGATCGCCTCATATGTGTATCTCCTCCTCGTTGAAATTTCTCCTACACTCGTGATTTTATTTTTTCGAAGTATATGTATATCGCTTCTGAGCATATTTTTAGGATTGTCGCGTGATATTAAATTTTAATAATTTATCAGTAAGAACATTTAGAATGATTCATGAATTATGTTTGTTCCTCTCTCTCTCTCTCTCTCTCTTTTATATACAACTGAAACACGCATAATTGTATTACCATCTGATACTTAATCGAATTTATAAATTTTAGATATTTTGAACATTAAATAATTGCGGGTTGTTCATCGATTTCTCTTGGTTTAAAACATCTAGTTATTTATAATTGATTAATATATATATATATACATATACTACATAATAAATATATTAAATCCATTATGTTATCGAATGAATTTTTTTTATCACAAAACACAACTATAATTTTCTTCGTAATTGTGCAATATAAAACATTATAAAAGTCATTCTAGTTATGTAATCTCAATAGGTTAAAATGCGAACTATGCGAACCCTTTTCGAGGTCACATAATATAAATGACGAACAATATTTCGGTTAAAAATGTAAGGTGAAATGTCGAAGAATTCGCATCGAAAGAACCTCGCTCTAATCGAATATATGGCACAGTGTTAAATATCACGATAAGCTACGCTATAATAAAATATATTAAATATATAAATATATGCACGCGAATATTAAATCTGTATAGGACTAGAATATTAAATCTGTATAGTATACGTTTATATGATGATATAGATAACTAACTGATCGTAAAATCGAATATAATCGGAATTTCCGTTGGTCTTATCTGAAGATGAAGGAATCGATCGATATATTTAAATCATTATATTCGCAATGATAAATAAATTATAGTCTGCTCACACAGATCTTCTTGCATTATAAAAGATGTAATGAAAAAAAAGTATACATATATTATATTAATTTTTGCATTTGTTTTCAATTTTCACTTTATATTCACCGAGTAACGAATGGAACCGACTTTCCTACCGGTTAGCGACTTTTGCGCCGTGCCATATTACAGATTCGAGTTGGTATATGATGCTTCGATAAAGGCTCACCGAAAATCGAGAGCTTTTCATTTAACGTCTGTAGTTACCACATATACCAGTCCTTTGTAAGTTGTACCATTTGTAAATAGTATCGCTGCGATCACGTTGTATAAAAATCGAAAGGCGATATTCTTTGTTAACTTCGAATTAATACCGGAACTTCGGCAAGAACACTCGCTTCGATTAATCATTCTCGTAAGTCGACCGACCAATCGATTGTCTTAATAATTCAACCGAGAAAGATTATAAAAAGTGCCAAAGAGACTGAACTGAAACCGTGTTCAGAGAGATAATAGAAAATACGAATATCGATTGCGTTAACTTAAGCGAAGCAACAGCCCGGTTTCTCTTTCGCGTTCATCACTTCCCATGAACTTGAGAATTGTCCAGGTCCAGATAGTTATGTTTTTCAATGAATGTAAGTGCTCTTAACGCTGCGTTCAACGTTTAACGCTTGCTCCTTGATTATCGTGTGATTACGTTATTATTTCGCAAGAAAATACTATCATTATTAGGGATAGTTGTTTTTTAAGTAGAAAGAGAAGAGATATATCGTCGTATTGTTCTCGATTGTTTGGCAGATGAATTCGTTGTAGGATCGTGCGCGCATACGTTTTATTGAGAGAACGTCTATAAATGTGTGCGAAAATATCTCTCGTATGTGTAAAAGCTGCAAATTGGCATTTATGGAAGAGAATCAAAACTTACAAACTGATAAAATAATCTCGTCCCTGTGGCTCGAAAGGTGGGTCTCGTTCGATACCGCTGAAAAAGATTCTCCTGAGTTTGCTGAACTCACGGTGGGTGTAGCCTTGTTCCTCTCCTGGATACTCGCTAAACATGGATATATACATATATCCACTTATTTCCAAGTTGCGATAGGTGTTGGTTCAACGTCCAGATAGTCGAATTCAGTGCACCACGCGGCGAAATACAGTGTCCTTATTTTTAAATACGTGTTAAGATACACGTTCTATATATACTGCCTCTAAACTACCATCCTAAGTGTCGTCGAGTTATGCTCCGTCCGTGATCGGATGAGTGGATGCTTGGCAGACACGATCATATCCGTGCTCAAAAAATCCAAATGACTATCAAAGTTCGTTTATGTCTGTCTGTCCGTCTGTCTGTCTTTCTTTCTGTTTCTCTCTCTCTCTCTCTCTCTCTCTCATTCATTTTTTCTCTTTCTCTTTCTCGATTTCTGATCCCTCTTCCCTCCCATCTCGTGAGAGTTGACAACGTTGATCGTTCGTGACGATTTTCAATTCGTTGGCTTCCGCCATCATGGCGAGCCGGGTAAGGCTTGCGCACTAACTTTGACCAATACTAGTTCTTGATATCGTTTGATGAAGGCTGACGACAATCGAGTACATTCAAGAATTAGACAAAAGAGAAAGAAAAAATCCATCCGGATTAAAAAAAAAAGTAGTAGTAAGGGCATTCTAATGACCAGCGAACCGCGAACTGTGTATAGACACACGGAAATTTGAGGCTGGTCTCGCGGCGAAAAGACGGAAGACATTGTTGATAAGCAAGGAGAGAAGGCGCAACAAGAAAGAATGTAGCAAAACTCTATAATAAGTTACTTACCGTGCGCACGTCCAACTGTGTCGTCCACTTTAAGAGAATACGTAGATGAAAGAAAAGAAACACAAAAGAATAAGATATGATTGCGAGAAGAGGGTCCAAGAGATAATAAGGCTTACCGTGTGCCGCATCCGGGTTTCTTTTTTGTCCGCTGAAAGGAGGAAAGAAAACTGGCTCGCAACACATACACATACATATACACACACGATTTATCTACAAGCTGACACGCATCTTTCACGCGCGATTCGTGCGTTGCTCGTCGCAACTTGAGAAAGGGCGTGTAAAAAAGAGCGAGTTACCTTACATACGCGAGAGAGAGATCGTAGTACTTTGTGATTTTAAGATTCTTTGTTACTTCTTCGTTCTTTTTTTTTCCTTCGTTGGCGATAATAGATATGGTCGGTTGACAAAAGAAATAAGACGATGAGCAGCCTAATCTCTCTCTCTCTCTCTCTCTCATTCATTTTTTCTCTTTCTCTTTCTCGATTTGTTGAGTAAACAAAAAGTGTCCAAGTGCCAATATTAGCGAAGCGTGAATTTATTGTATATAATATGTATGTATACACATCTACATAGACACATATACACATAAATAGTATAATCTTACGTGCATTATATACGTGCAAAGCGATTGATAAGGGACGTATAATACAAGTTTTCGGCTACGAGAACTCGCAAGTTTCTTCCTTGATAATACGATAACGACGAAATTAGCCGGTATACTCGAGTCGAAGATAAGCATAATAACGTGGAATTAAAACATAAAGATTAAAAAGTTACATAAGGTTTATATATATGTATATAACCATTGATCCTCCCCGTGCCTCTCTTTCTGCTCTTTTCTCGCATATTTCGATTGTCTATTTTTCCTCGAATCAAGACTCGACAATTTCTCGGAATCTACGAGAGTGTCAAACGAGAGTGACAAGTGTCTACTTTCGTAAAACTTTCCCAGGCAATACAAATATCGGGAAGATATCTTTTTTTCCCGTAGTAGTTGAGTCCTGTTTAATTGAATTCCGCAGCGAGTTTCTCTATCAAATTTGTTTGCATATCTTCGAATCGTTCTCCCTGTTCTCTCTTCACAATAAGAAAACTCTTAATTCTCGAGATATACACACAAATCGGAGCAAACATTCTTCCTTCGTCGAAAGCATCGGTGCTGAAATAATATTTAGCAAATCCGTCATAAGATATCAATCGAGAAAAATAAATGGGCGAATTAATCAGTATTCGTCATAACGATCTGACAGATTGAGATTCCCGTAATGATTCTCGCATATCTCTAGAATCATCAGCATGCGAATGCGATTCGGACATTTCAGTAAATGAACATTTCAGTCGGGCAAGAGCGCGAGATTATTCGATCGCGCGGAAGTCGTGACATATCATTTGATGAATATATCCGTTCTTCGTTTTACGAGAGGCATATCACGTGCGGAGGCATGCACGAGCTGCTCCGTTGCTTTCACGATCTTCGCAAATTGTCCTGACGGAGTCTCGTCATTAGATCATCCGACATAGGAGAGAATCGAGACAAAAAACT